CTCTCTCTCTCTCTCTCTCTCTCTCTCTCTCTCTCTCTCTCTCTCCTCTCTCTCTCTCTCTCTGACGAGGCGCGCGCGCGCGCGTACACACAAACATGCGCGCGTGCGGGGGCGCGCACACACAGAGTCATCCCTCGTGATGAGTCGGTGGAAGTCCGACGAAACAGTCTGGCACAGTCATGCTCTTTTTTCGTGGAGTTGTGCATAGCAAGAACATGACAACACACACACACACACACACACACACACACACACACACACACAGAGAGGCACGCACGCAAAGGCTCACGCGGAGAGGCCGGCAGGTACCCATCCACACACACATAATGCTGGCGCTCATTGTCGCGTGCCCACACACAAACACACTCCTCTCCTGATGAGGCAGTAAAAGTCCGACGACAGTCATGCTCTTCTTGTGGAGTTGTATAGCTAACATGACAACACAGAAACACACGGGGGCACGTACAGAGGGGCGCACGCACGCGCTCAGGCACAGAGGGCGCCACGCACCCACCCCCACGCACATGATGCTCGCGCGCGTGGTCGTACGGCTCATTCAGAGCGGGCACATGATTGCGCTGGTGGTCAGACCTGGATGCGTTGGGCTCATCAGCTGCTGATGACGTGTCATCGTCATCGTCGTGCACAATCATTGAGCGCCGGGATATTTTTGGAGTCAATTACTCGATATACTGATACTGTTCTCAATCGGTTCGCTTGAGAGAATTACACGTTGGAAAAAAAAAATAAAAAAATTACACGTTGAGGGGGTTGCACGAAGCTCGAGAAATTTTCCGGAAAAAATGGCTGGAAAGGTTATGGGTGCTTAAAAATGCGAGGGGAAGAATGGAACCGAGTTGACGGGGGAGGCAAAAACAAAGAATAGCATTGGGATGGGCTAGTGGATTGGCCAGTATTGTTCGACAGAAGCTTCCAGATGGAGAAAGAAAGGATAGGAAAAAAAACACTTTCCCCGCCATTTTTGGAATTGGACGGTGGGGAATTGGTCAAAGAAGAGCCGTAACGGTTTTGCTTTTACTGCCGAAAGTCGAGGAACTAAACCACTTCCCAACCTCGAGGAAAAGCTTTCAAGTTTCCAGTGGTGGGGATCTTATTGCTATTCACATGCCAGAAACGTGAAGCTGCACCCTTCTCAACCACCACATCTCCACCTGCGTGAAGATGCACCCTTCTCCACCATTCTCTCTCTCTCTCTGTGTCTGTCTGTCTGTCTCTCTGTCTGTCTGTCTCTCTCTCTCTCTCTCTTCCTGCGTGAAGCTGCACCCTTCTCAACTACCACATCTCCACCTGCTTGAAGATGCACCCTTCTCCACCCTTCTCTCTCTCTCTCTCTCTCTCTCTCTCTCTCTCTCTCTCTCTCTCTCTCTCTCTCTCTCTCTCTCTCTCTCTCT